TTAGACTATAGCTCATATGGAGGAATCCAACCCTAAGCCCGAAACCCTATTATACAACAGTAGTTTCCATTTTCGTTTCCATTATCCCTAGACAACTCCCCAAGATATACCCTTAATCCCCATAATAACCCCTACCTAACCCCCATCAGTCCATTTCATGTTTCATGGTCTTTTCCATATGATTCTCCATTATACCCATATGGAATATGGCACCCAAAACCCTTATCCATATATGACCACCCTAAACTTCAAATCCTAAACCCTAAACCCTTATCCATCTATAGCCTTGTATGGCATGTTGCATTCCTTGCAGGCCGGAGCCCTGCAGGACATCCACCAGCCCGGCTCTTAACACATCTTACGGGTTTAGGGTTTATAGGGCTTAGGGATTTAGGGTTCAAGATGTAGAGTCAGGATGTAGGGCTTCGGGTTCAGGATTTAGGGTTTGGGATTTAGGGTTCAGGACTTAGTGTTTAGGGTCTAGGGTTCAGGATTTAGAATCTAGGGTTTAGGGCCTGGTGCTAAGCAGGGAATGAGGGATTGAACTCGCGTGGTAGTCCCTGTACTCATCTACAAGGACAGTTCCCAGAATCCATTCTCCCATCAGCTACTAGGCACCAGCCAGGTGACCGCTAAAAATCCTAGAGCCCAAAATCGCCATGCTAGATTTTCGAGCGCCAAGGAGTCTAGCACCGAGGGCTTTGGGCTAAACAGCCAGACCCCGAACACTAAGCCCTAGTTAGACCCAAAACATAAGCCCCTAAACCCTAGTCAGACCCTTGACCCTAAGCCCTAGGTACAGCCAAAACCTAAGCCCCTAAACCCTAGTTAGATCCAAAACCTAATCCCATAAATCCGAGTTAGACCCTAAAAGCTGAACACATACTACTATAGTACATTGGGGTTATAATTGTATATTGGGGTTATTTGGGGATAATGGAAAATAAGATGGAAACTGCTATAGTATACCTAAACCCTGAACCCTGAACCCTAAACCCTAAACTCTAAACCCTAAACCCTAAACTCTAAACCCTAAACCCTAAACCCCAAAACCCTAAACCCTGAACCCTAAACAAGGTTTTATAATGGGCGATTCTTGGGATGCACCCAGCTTCAAGGGGCGCATCGTCTTCCTTCGGCTCTGCTTCGACAAATAGCAACAACAGTACCACAAGGGTTTGAAGGTTTAGGGTTTTGGGGTTTAGGGTTTTAGGGTTTAGTGTTTAGGGTTTTGGGGTTTAGGGCTTAGGGTTTAGGGTGCCCGCAAGAATGAAAAACGTAATGCTCATTCGAAGTTGAGACTCCCAAATACAAACATAGTAATACTGATGCCAACACTTGTACAGGGGAGAACTCTCAGGATCAAGAGTCTCAAAGTCATCTCCATTTTCCCCTCCTCCTAAACCCTAAACCCTCAACCCCCTAAACCCTAAATCCCCTCAACCCCAAACCCTCAACCCCCTAAACCCTAAATCCCCTCAACCCCAAACCATCAACCCTCTAAACCTAAACCTTAAAGCCGCCTCTGAAGTTCAAGGATGGTTCGTTGGATTGCCACGAAGGAGGACCATGCCCAAAAGATCATGACCACCACTGCATCTCAGTTGCACAGCTGGGTTTAGGGTTTAGGGTTTCAGGTTTGATGTTAAGGTGTAAAAGGGCGGCAACGTACACAAGAACAAATCCGTTGCATCATGTTCTTGTTGTCATTGCTTTTTCTGCAACGGCATTGTTGAAAACGAGGCCGACTACTTCCTTGCCCAGAAGGCCGCGCACGAGATTCGGGATGCATTTTAGGGTTTAGGTTGGGTACTGCCCCCACTCAGTAACAGTTGGACTATATTTATAATATAGTTATATATAGACCTTAATTATGACCCCTAGTATAGACTGTTACTGGGTGGGGGCAGTACCCAAGGTTTAGGTTTTAGGGTGGCAATAGCCATAACAGTGCAAGTGGGCAGAATATCAATCTTAATGACACCGACAGCACCTTCAAGAAGAGCAGTCATTCTCGGATGATTGCAAGGACTCAAGACGGCGCAAGAGCAACTATGGTAGTTATACTGGCCGGAATATCGTTGCATGTACGCTTTGCTGTGAGGGTATATCTTGCATTGCTTCGCAATATTCATATGCAAATATGTACATGCATAGGGCTTTCTCCGCATGGTCCTGTAAAAGCCATTCAAAAGAACGACTCTACTGCACATATGCCATGGCGTTCCTCAAAGTCCCCCCTATTCTTCAACACCAGGCCCCTTCTGTACACCCAGCCAAAAGTTTGACCAGACTGGCCAGGCAACCAGAACAGCGTTCAATGCAGTTCCTCCTCAATCCCTTCGCAAAGCCTCATCGGACTTTATGGAGTATCCGATATATGTACGTAATGCTCAGCATTGGGGGATGGTTTTGCCATATCCACAAGAGTACAGCAACTGGGCAGCATGGCAAAATTTCCAAGTGGCAGATCTTTAAAGAGTCCTTTCAGAATCCTCAATTCCTTCATATAGTTCTCCAAAGCGTGACTGACCCCTTGCCAGGTGAAAAAGGCAGATCTGAGTGAAGATGACTACCTCAAGAGACTGGCTCTGCACCATGATGTCATGGTCAGGGCCCCAGTTTTGGGTTTAGGAGTTTAGGCGCTTCAGAGTTAATCTAGGATGTAGGGGTCCTAAACCCCTAAACCCTAAACTATAAACTCTAAACCCTAGGCTTGTGAAAGAGGAGCTCCGTAGCCCTTGCTTCTAATGTTGCATCGGAGCCCGTAAGCTTGACATCAATCAGTTCTGGATTCTAACATTACGCCCCCCCTCCCCTATTTGCCCGGGCCAAATGCCCGCTCATCGGAATGTGCTACGTATAGCAATGTTTTGGTGGTCGTGGATGTGTGTGAAGTGAACATCATTATGGATGCCGGCATGGAGTCACTTATTGTGGATGTGGTCGAAANNGGTGCCGGCATGCATTCGCTAGTATTTTGTTTCGCTGTAAATAACAGCAATCTTGCAGTTGTGGAAGTATTTATACGGATGCTGTGAGCTTGGATGCGCACGTAACATGAAGATGCTGTGGGCAAATAGGAGGGGGTGTGGGTAACATTAGGATTTAGGGCCTGGGGCTTGGGGTTTAGGATTTAGGGCCTAGGGTTGGGACAGTGTAAAGTCATCTTCTGAAATTTGAGGCTTTGGGATGTGCCTAAAAAGCATGTTTGGATCCATATTCTTTTGGAAGCTACCATGTGAAGAAGGTTTTAGAGAACTCATGGGGCGCATGCACAGGATGCAGGAGGCATTACCAAACTGCTGCTACCACTGGGGTCATGCTTTCACGCAAAGGAATCATTGAACAGAATATGTCTATGCTAGGTCTGGGGGCATTACAGGTTGTGGGAGGGAACTAGGCCGATCTAACGCTGCTAGGAGGACATCAAGAATCAGGGGTTTAGGGTTTAGGGTTAATCAGGCACATACTCACCCGCCATGGGAAGCTTGGTTTGGGAAGCCGCATAGAGTCCTAACACCCTACGGCCCTGAACCTGTAAGCCGCAGAACCGCAAGTCACTTTGCATTATTAACCCATTAGAGGGTAGTTTCCACAAAGAGGGGGACCCCAACATAGACCCCAAACTATTCTAATCCTCATTCTAGGGACCTCCCAAAAGGTTCCCTAAGTTTGGAAAACCCCTAAACCCTAAATCCTACAGCCTAGATATCCCTATGTAACCTTCTATTTTGGGTCGCCCCATATAGCTTTTCCCAAAAAGCCTTTATGCAGGACTCCCATAAACCTGCAGGTTTCCCGTGAAGCCGTCATACGGTTCAGGGTTTGGGGCGTAGGTGCTAAATGACAGTGAATTTATGCCACTCCCTGAACCATAAACCTGAAACCATATTTTGTAGGTTTAGGGTTTAGGGTTTAGGGCCTAATGCCTGAAGCCTAAGTCATATCTAGTAAATCCTAAACCTTACCTTACACAGAATAGTTTTCACTTTCTTTTCCACCCTGAAGCACCAGAAGCTTCGCGCCTTGGACTGGGTTGCTATTCAGTACCTGAGAATAAGCTACCATAATAGGGATATATATATATATACATATATAGTAAATAATCAGTTTTCCTAACTTTGGTAACTCACCGTAAGCTCTAAACCCTAACTCCTAAACCCCTTAACCCTTAAACCCGACAGCAGCCCAGTGCAGGTGGCCGCCATGAAAGCGAAGCAGTCCTCGGAGCTGGGACCCGTGGACACTTTGGACAAAGCTATCGAGGTCGGAGCTTTCGGGTGAGTTTATATACGGTTTAGAGATTAGGGATTTACGGTTTAGGGTTCAAGGGTTTAGGGATCTTGCTCCTTTACTAAGAATAGTCAAGAAGAAAATGCAAAAAACATGGAAGATTAAATGGAAACAGCTGTTTAAAGTTTCTGTAGGTTTTGGGGTTCTAAGGGGGGGATCTTTTGATTTGGTGAATTTACTTGCTTTCCTCGTAAAGTTGTATTCCAAGCCCTAGAACACCCGTGACTCAGTAGAATGACGAAGACCGGGGAGCCTCCAAGTAACATGTTTCACGCTTGAATACCACAGAAGAGATAAGAAGTCATTATTCCTATCACTCGATTGTAGTGGCGGCGGCGGCGGCGGCGGCGATGGTGGTGGTGGTGGCGGTGGCTGCGGCGGCAGCGGCGGCGGCGGTGATGGTTGGGGCGGCGGGTGGCGGCGGGCGGGAGCGTGGCGGTGCTGGTGCTGGATGTTATGCACCTCGCCCCCGAAACAACTGGAAGATGATAGCGTCTAAAACGTAGAAGCTCAACATTTCGCAGTATTCCGGTGTTCGTGCTCATTGTTCTTTCCACTGTTAACGTTACTGCCATGACCATTATTACCTACTAGAGCCTTTTTCTTGATAGCTGCCAGCGACATGATTGCAATGTAAAACTACGGAGTAGGACTACAAGCAGGTGTAGCGCTGCTGGTATTTCTATTCTTACCATTGCTATGATTATGAGACTTGGTATTCCTCCTCCTCCTTGTCGCGTTAGCTCTTGCTGTTAGAGGGTTCGGTTCGTGTTTCGTGGGGTATTTAGGACGTTCCAGAGAGAGGCGTAGAAGAATGAAGCCCAGAGCTACAGTTTAGAACCTCTGTGCTATGTAGTAGTGTTTGGGGAGTGGGGGGGAGTGTATTGTATCATGGAGGAAGGCTCAAACATGTGCGGCAGGCCTTAGAAGCAAGCCTTGTAGAGAGCTGGGGAGTTTGGGAGTTTGAAGAGGGATCAGAAAGCTGGAGCCGCAACTGCATGACTGCACATTCTGTGTATTCGCTTGTTCTCTGCTGAAGCGAAGCTCTCTTCTCTAAGTCGTGAAGGCGTTGGCCCCGATCTACAAGAAGTGAGTTGCTGCACTAGCCTTTGAAAGCATGAGTATGGCAGAGCCACCCACAGCCGTGTGTGCTGACACAGATCTGCCTGTTTACAGACTGACGCGACCGCCTCTGAACATGTGTTGAAACACTTTGCTCTCCAGCTACTTGATGACTGTCTGCTTGAAAAAGAATACACTGACCTCCTATAACACGTGCTCCGTTGAGACTTAGCATGTGTGTTTCCGTGAGAGCCGCCCCATGAATCCTCTTTCGAATATGTTGAAAGGTTCTGCTTGGGGCACAAGCCGCCTAAAGTAGAGTGTCTTTTCAAGATTGCGGGCTTTTTGGGCTGGCTTCTACAGCTGTACAGCAGGATTTGCAAGAGGTCACGTTGTTGGAGGCTTTCAGGCGGCTCACAGGTGACCCTTCCTTGAGTTGGTACCTACCAGAAGCCGACAATCTGCCAGTACATTCGCCGCATCAGCCTTGTACTTAGTGTGGCTCAGCCAGGAACAACCGGGAGTTTCCCAAACTTAGGGCGTACTTCCTCGGGGTTCCACTTCCTCGGGGTTCCCAATAAGGACGATAGTTTTGGGGTCTATATTGAGATCCCCTTGTTTTTGGAAAACTAATTGTAGTCTTGCAGAAGATACAAGCTTGTCTTAGCTGGAGGGATTAACATTGCAGTCAGATTGCAGTGAGAAGGGTATTCAAACAGTGAGCTCAACTTACTGGTGGTTAACAAGAAATAGAGGGGAATACGCCCCCGATATACGATCCCCTTACTATATTCCCTTCTTCCCTACTACCTCTAAACCCCTAAACCTCGAGTCCCTATACTATGTTTTCTTATTCCCTACTAATTAACCCACAGTAAGTCAAGCAACATGGATGGCTCGCAGAGGTCACCCTGAGGCCGGCTCTTTCGTACGGGCTTGAGATGAGCTTCCCCACAGTTTTCCCCATAAGACGCGGTTTAAGGGTTTAGGGGTTTAGGGTTAGGGTTTAGGGGTTGTAGGGTTTGGGGTTTAGGGAGTTGTTTTCTCGCTTTCCCCGCTAAGCACCCACAACTCCTAGGGGTGCTCTGTCATGTGCGGAGATTGCAGAGAGGCAAAGAGGTAAGTGAGCATTCCAACCCCAGGTGGCATATCTCAGATCCCTGGTGTTATAGTAATAGTAATAGTACTAGTAATAGTTGCAATAATCATAGTAATAGTAGAATAATCTTAAGATACTAAAGGCCAATACGTTGCTTATAGAAGGGGTTATCCAGTCTTTTTGTGGAGAAAGATGCCATCTCACTCATGATTTGTGTAGCTGTGCCCATCGCATTGCCATGCACCTTCACGAGGTAGTTCTTGTTGAATCTTCCAGCCTTTTCGTTGAGCACGTGAGGGCGACTTAGTTGCTACTTGCCGCTGCTTAGACACAGCTGACGTTTTGAGCCTACGTGAGAGAGTTATCTGGTCATCCGCTGCAGAACATGAACTGGTTGTAGCTTGTTATTCCCTACCTAGCTCCGCTTGCACAGGAGCGGGACGAGTCTGACTTACGAAGGTCAAGTGCCAGTGAAGCCCTCGGTTGGTCCATGAGACGGCAACATTGGTTTTAGGAAAAAGGGTCACCCATTAATTGTCCGCAAGGTAGAATGGTGATCACATTCGGGCCCCCTTAAATTCCTATTCTGCGACTATTGCAGGGTGGGCAGTTCACCTAATGTAAGCTTGAAGAATTTCCGATGGTATCCTCTTACAGAATCCGAGTATTATCCCCATGTGAGGATAGCACATCATATGCCTCCAGGCCCTATTCAAATTACTGAGGCCTCGAACGGCCTCGACAGTAGTCTTGTAAGCCGCCTGTGCTTTTGCAACAGGAGCTGCAGCGTCGTGAATCAGAGATGAGGAGCCACGTGAGGAGTCGATGACTCTGCCGACACCCGCTGTGGGCCAGACCTCAAGAGGTGCTGGTTTTCTTGAGTCGAGGGTCCCTTAACAGTCCACAGGGTACATCTACAGTTTTCTAGGAGGGTTTCAGGGATCAGCCACGATTCTCTAGGGACTCTTGTGAGACAGCCTGAGGTTTGGCGGAAGCTCTGGATGACTTGTTATTTGCGCAAGTTCTCTCCAACAGGGAGCGGGCAGCTACACATGGCCCGTAGGCAAATGCTCAGCTCCTGAAGGCTGCTTTACGGGAGTCTACAGCAAAGCTGAACCAACCTCACGCTCAGTGCCTTGCCAGCCTCGCCTGGTCCTTAGCCAAATTGGGCGCCGAGGATGGGCTGCCTGTGCAAGGTCTAGCCGCCGAAGCTTTGAGAAAGTTGGAGGAACAAACGACCCAGGGACTTTCCAATCTGGCTTGGGCTTGGGCTACGTCGGGTGTTCGTGACTACGCCATGCTGAGTGCCATAGCAGGGTGCTCTCTTGCAAAGCTGGCGGAAATGGAGCCACAAAGCTTGGCAAACCTTGCGTGGCTTAGTGGTGGTTAGTAGGGGAAAGGGAATGAAATCCCTACATAATGTATTCCGCTACTTCCCTATGATGCCCTTATCTGGTCCCTAGATGATCTCATAGCACCCCGATACCCTATTTCCCCTATAGAATCCTTCTATAACCTGAAAGTACCCTTACATTCCCTTAGTCCCTACTAACCCCAAGTAAGGTGGTACCTCGGCACGGCAGTCTTCTTTGGTGCTACTCTTTTCCAGGCAACTGCTGGTGCAGCCCTACGCAGCTTCTTCCTGGTGGTTAGTAGGGAAGAAGAGGAATAATTTAGGGTTTAGGGTTTAGGGCTTATATAGGGATGGAAAGGGAGGGGGGAATATATTCCCGCATTGCCTACTAAGCACCAGTAAGGCTTGGCAGCATTTACGCCGCAGAACTTGGCAAACAGCGCTTGGGCCTTCGGCAACATGGCCCCTGTGGACGCCCCGCTGATGAGCGCTGCAGGCCAAGCGGCCTTATCCCGGATCCGAGACTGGGCTGCTGTTAAGGAACTTAAAGTTAAGTTACCATAATAGGGTTTCCCCAATATAGCAACTGAAATTAAGTTCCTTAACAGCAACCCAGGAGAATTCCCAGCACGGGGTCTGGCGAACTTGGCCCGGAGGCTTGCTAGCAGCATGGTCCGAGAAATTCTGCTGATGCAGGGGATTGCAGCGGCGGCAGCATGCAGCATCCTCACGCCCACGCCGCAGAACCCTTCAAACACGGTGCGGAGATTTGGAACCCCTTCAGCCCTCGACCAACCATCCTTGGAGGTGCCGGGTTTTCAGGCAGTTTCTCGGAGTGCTGAGCTCCAGCCACAAGATTCATCCAACAGTGCATGGGCCATGGGCAACCTGGTGTTTCGAGACATGCTCTCGCTGGACGGCCTTGTGGGCGCTGCCACAGCTCGCATTTGCTAACTCTAGCCCCAGGACGCTGGCAATACAGCATGGGGTCTGGCCAAACTGGTACTCTGGCATGAGCCATTCTTTGCAGCCTCGCGCATGCACAGTGCAGAGCGTTTCCCAAGCTTTCCACCCCAGAATTCGGCCAACACTGGTTGAAGATTTGCCATGCTGCTGATTGCAGACATGCCTCCAATGGACGCAACCGCAGCTGCTGCTATGCCGAAGCTGTCGGCACTCAACTCCCAGCATCCTGCACACATGTTTCTGGGTTGCTGTCAAGGAACTTAAATTAAGTTACTATAATGGGTATATATAGTAAATAATAGGGTTTCCCCAATATAGTAACTTAATTTAAGTTCCTTAACAGAGCAGCCCAGGTTTTGGGCGTTTGCGTCTCCAGCCGCAGTCAGACGTTTGTTGCTTCATGCGCTGACCTAGCATGCCATCGATTCCGCGTCTGATCTCAACTGCCAAGAGTTGGCAAACAGCGCATGGAGGTGCACCAAGCTGGCCCTTGTCCACGAAGTGGCATCAAACGCTCTAACGCATGCCAGCAGCCAGAAAATCATGCAGCTTGTTCCCCAGGATTGTGCCAACATCTCCTGGACTTTGTGCAAAATCAGTTACATGGATCTGCCAGTGATGAGTGGCATCGGATCCCTATCGCTGCAAAGGATTCGCGAGCCCAATCCACAAGACCTGGCAAATACTGCCTGGGAGGTGGCGAACTTGCAGCTCAGAAGCTTACCTGTCGAGTGGGTTTAGGGTTTGGAGGGTTACCTCTTACTGTTTTAGGTGGCGCAACACCTAAGTGCAATAAATGTCAACGTTGGGCAAGCCCTAGATACGGGCTCTTCTTACAGAATCCCCAGGCAAGGATTCCCAGAATCCCCCTTATAATCCTAGGGGTTTCAGTATACTTTGTAGTTGCTAAGTTTTGCTAACCCTCCAAGCGGTAGGGGCGCCCCTTTCAAGAAACTCCATACAGGACCTAAAGCCCTACACCCTAAAGCCTTGAAAACTAGACACTTTTTAGAAGGGTCCAAGTACTCCAATAGTAAGGGTACAAGACTTTCGGGTACCTAAAAGGCCCTAATATTTGAGTACGGTCTGTAGTGGACAACCAAGGAAGCCTTCAGCTGATGGATTCCACCGCCGCACGTGCGGGTGCTCAGTGTTCTTGGCTCGCTTACGGTTACTTTCCAAAAATCCCTACATGGCGATTTCTCTTTAGGGTTTAGGGTTTAGGGGTGTAGCATGGCGACTTCTTAAGACAAGGGGCTCCTTGGATACGCTCCGGAATATCAGGGGTGATACCTGGATTCAGGGGCTCCTTATGGAGGATTTCCCCCGTATCCCACATGGTGATACTGTGTGGGCATTGCAGGGCCCTGATAGGGATCTTCCGTTTATATGGGTTGTTCTCAAAACCATGGGCCCCATTTTGTTATGGATGCTATCATGGCACCTAATACGGTATAAGAATGGGACCCTAATTTTGGGAACTACCCTAGACCCTTAAACCCTAAATCCCAAAAGCCTAAACCCGAAAACCCGGAACCCTAAACCCTAAGTCCTAAAACCCGAAACCCTAAACCCTAAGACCCTACACCCCGCCAGGATTGCGCAATTCGAA